AGAAACCTTTGTTTGGTGTTGAAGACTTTTCCGAGTATGCTGCCAAAATACCGGGGTGCTTTTGCTTTGTGGGCATCCGTGACGAGGCATTTGGCTCTATTTACACGGAGCACAGCTCGAAGTTCAAGGTGTACGAAAAGGCACTCAAGCATGGTGTGCAAGTGCATGTGGGTCTTATTGCGAAGCTTATGATGCATAATATTTAGTTTGTAGTTCCTTGACTGGGAGTGTGCAATAATAAGGATCAAAAATAATGGGTTTTTGGGTAGGTTTTTGTCTGATTTATATCATGCCCAACACGTAGGGTAAAATAGGGCATGGGTACATGTGTCTGGGCTATGATGTTGCCTTGGCATGCCCATTTTGTTGCTCTATAGAACCTATTTCTTATTGTCTGTTTTTCATTGCTGCTGTACGGTATGAAAGGTGCTTTCAAGCGAATTGAGGAATCCATGTCCTTCCTTAACGCCTTAATTTTGGCTGTACAGCCCGAAGTTGTGCAGTGGCGCCGTCACATCCATGAAAATCCCTACCTGGCCTACGAGGAGCAGCCGACCGCAGACTACGTAGCGAGCATCCTCACCACAATGCCGGCGGCCCTTGAAATAAGGCGGCTGACGCCGAACAGTGTGGTTGCAGATCTCCGTGGCGGAGCAGGGGAGGGGCCCATGTACGCGCTGCGTGCTGACATGGACGCGCTTCCGTTGCAGGAGGAAAGTGGTGAACCGTTCAGCTCAAAGCGGCCTGGCGTGATGCACGCTTGCGGCCACGATGCACACACTGCAATGCTTCTCGGAGCTGTCAAGGTCCTTTGCCAGGTGAAGGACAAGATTTGCGGCACTGTACGGTTTATCTTCCAGCACGCAGAGGAGGTGATTCCGAGCGGTGCAAAGCAGCTTGTACAGCTTGGTGTACTTGAGGGTGTCAAGATGATCTTTGGCTTACATGTTGACGCCGCAAGCCCAGCTGGCACAATTTCGTGCAAGAGCGGTGTGATGATGAGTGCCTGCAATGACTTTGACATAGTGATTAAAGGCGCTGGTGGGCACGCCTCCCAGCCCGAGCTCTGCACCGACCCCATCGTGATCGCTGCCGAGGTGGTCACGAGCCTGCAGACAGTTGTGTCGCGTCGCATCGGGGCCCTAACCGCTCCTGTTCTCAGCGTGACGATGTTTCAGGGCGGAACGGGCAGCTACAACGTGATCCCCGACACCGCTCACCTGCGCGGCACGCTGCGCTGCCTGGATCGCGAGGTTCAGGCGCGTGTGCCTGGCTTGATGGAGGGGATCGTTTCTGGGATTGCGAAGGCGCACGGCGCCCAGTATGAGATGAGTTGGCTGGAGCCCAACATCGTCACGTACAACGATCCGGCGGCGTATTTAATTGCAAAGGAGGTTGTCTTGGAGTTTGTGGGAACGGACGCGTTCGTTGAGAAACAGAAACCTTTGTTTGCTGTTGAAGACTTTTCCGAGTATGCTGCCAAAATACCGGGGTGCTTTTGCCTTGTGGGCATCCGTGACGAGGCATTTGGCTCTATTTACACGGAGCACAGCTCGAACTTCAAGGTGTACGAAAAGGCACTCAAGCATGGTGTGCAAGTGCATGTGGGTCTTATTGCGAAGCTTATGATGCATAATATTTAGTTTGTAGTTCCTTGACTGGGAGTGTGCAATAATAAGGATCAAAAATAATGGGTTTTTGGGTAGGTTTTTGTCTGATTTATATCATGCCCAACACGTAGGGTAAAATAGGGCATGGGTACATGTGTCTGGGCTATGATGTTGCCTTGGCATGCCCATTTTGTTGCTCTATAGAACCTATTTCTTATTGTCTGTTTTTCATTGCTGCTGTACGGTATGA